TTACGAAGTTCTGGGGATGACTAGAAGGTTATTTTCTTTTACGGGTTTGTATGCTGCCCATCACTTTACTACTGTTATGACTTTGGCTGTGTCAGAATTCGAGGAAAGGACATTAAAATATAGAGATCAAAATGACAAATTCAACACAGAAAAATCATTCTATAGTTGCCATAGACATTAACTTAAGGTCTTGCAGAAGCCAGTTTTCAGTGCTGCTGTCAGCTCTCTGGGGTTTGGTGAATCCTTTTTCCAGCTCTCATCATTTTTCTGATAGAACAGAGACCGGTTTTACTTTCAGGTAATTAGTGAAGCTTATTGCAGTGGATGGAGGCAGCTCAAGCTTGATTTTGTTTGAGCCAGACTTTTCTTCTTTATTGATTTTGGTAACTCCCTGAGTTGGTGCTTATTGATTCAGGCACAGCTGTACAGTGTTCTAATTTGCTCTGGGAGAGGGCTTCGTTCAGAGTCCGGATTGTCAGACTGACTCTATTTTTCCTTCTTCTGAGAGTTCATGGGAGATGTTATTACTCAGGGTTTATTTAAAGTTTACCAAAAATATAGGTGAGCTTGTCTTCCCTTCCCTCATCTCCCAAGACTCGCTGGGTACATGCAGAGCGCCATGAAAGAGGGTTCTGCTGGAGGAGTTCCTAATCTAACTGCCCTGCACCTCCGAAGGCAAACAGAAATCAGAAAGAAGAATGATTAATTATGTATAACCAATCTTCATGAATTCCTGTTTATCCTTAAAAAACGCCACTGATGGAAACCCCACCACCTTTGTAGACTCGTTGTTTTAGTGCTCAGCTATCATTTACAATTTGAAAGCTGTTTGCTATTGTTAACTTACATTTCTACTGCAGCAATTTAAGCATGTTCCTTTCTGATCTGTGGATATGGAAAACAGTTTATTCTCTTCCCTTTTGCAGACACTTTTTAACACCTGAAGACTTGCAGCCCTTGCTGGAGGCAGTTCAGATTCAGAGGTGTCCACCTGGGGGAGGGACTTGAGGGAAAAGGTTGATCCAAAGTACAAAGATTGCCTATGCTTGTCCTCCTGGAAAGAAAACAGCAATGTGCCTTGATGTACAATGATAATTTGTAGTGAATTCAGAGGATTATACAAGCTGTCCCAAAGAAGCATTGAAAGTAGACGCCATGGTGGAGTCTGCATACATATTGCGTGTCTTTAGGGGTCTCACTTTTCCTTTCAGTCCTGTGTACGGCCTGGTCCTTTGTGTCACCAGCCCTAACATGGAGCAAGAGAAGCTGTGGCTGCTTTCGGTCATCAAAGCCCCTCATGACATTATTTTTGAGATGTTTTACGCCGAGGACTCATGGCCTGTGAAAATCAACATGCAACTGGGGCAGTTTCATATTTAATTAACCACAGTGACGAACTCTCTATATCTGTCAGAAGAGAAATCATTCCTGTATTTTCTCTGGTATTTTTAATATACTGATTTTCTTTTGAGTTTTAGTTTGGTTTTGTCATGAAAAAGAAGACAAAGTAACTCATCTTAGGTTGGCTGGCTTCTTGCCATTCGTTTTCTTTTTCCTCCTTTTAAAAGCTTTCCTGAAGCCAGCCTTTGAAACATCTATTTCTGAATAAAAAGTACAATTTTTGAGTGCTAATTATGGTCAGCTTCCACTGATATCCCAGTAAGTAAGTGTCCAGGAACACCTGAGTCAATCACAGCATCAGGTCAGTAGATTATAGAATGTGCACAACTTTGTGAATCTGTTTCTATTTTTTTAACAATATTTGACCCTTAGGTCCACTGAGGTTGAATTTGATATAACTTGGCTCAGCTGAAGTTTGGCTCAGCCCTGTCAGTTTGTAGCAGTTTTCTACCTGAGTCTTGATAAAAAGTCATATATTAAAGAAAACCCCAGCCTATATTTACATATTCATTTAAGAACTTAATACGATAATATTGGTTAAAATGCAAGCTTTTTAGTTTTGTTATGGTAACCAGTGTTTGATTTTTTTAAAAAAGAAAAACTAAAGCACTGAAAAGAAAAAGTATGGATACAGAAACTAAGGAGTAAAAACAGTTTTCCATTACTTCAGTCTTATTTCTCATACTGTTTTTTGTACATTTCTATTAAAGCCTTCTAAAAGAAAAATCTGCAAAAGATGCATACAGAGTGAATCCGTAGCTCCTTTTATCTTTATGAGAACATGCTGAAGTTTGTTAAACTGCTTCAGTTGTGAAAGGCTGACTTTATTCATGAAATATGCTCTTTTGCTATTCTTACCAAAAATATCATGTGGTAGTCGAGACCACTATCTATCAGTTGTATCTATCGGTCGATTTCTGGCAAAAGAATTAACTCTTCTGATTTTTTCAGTGTAGAAGAATAAACAATAGATAAAACATGTTTCTTCTGAGATGCAAAGAACCCAGCGTAGTGTTGTTCAAATCCTCAGCAGATCTTATCCAAACTGATATTAATGAAACGAAAATACTTCAGGGACTTGCTTTCATGAGATTACTGCATTTTTCCTCTTATTTTATACTGTGATCTTTCCTAAGAGCAAGATGTTTGCAGTTATCCAAGTTCTTTGCAGCACTGTAGAAAAATGTATGGCTCAAAGAGAGGCGTAGTATTATATAGTAATGACTGAAGAGAATGGTTTTGTACTTTTACTGTCTTAGGATAAATCAGCGCTAGCCTCTTACAATATTCATTTCCTTGTAAAAATTCTGAAGGAAAATTTCAATGCTTGAAATTTTTGCTATGTTAGGTTATTGAAAAATCATCAAATTCACATTTCTCTCAGCTGCTTAACAGTCACTAATCAAATTAAAAAACTGTAGGCAACCTAATATAGACTGACTTGAATCAACCGATACCAAACTAACTCCTGGCTGCTTACATTGACTTAACAGTCATATAAATAGTTTATTTTTGTATTCATTAGTCATCTCTAAAACAGAAAGATTTCATGTGGAAATTTGTGTAATACGTTACATATTTTCTGCAACAGTTTGGCTATATTTATGGAAAGTAGAGAACAATGTACTGTTGCTAAGGACTTAAGATGAAGCAGAAATTCTCTGAGCGCATTTTATATAGTCACCAAGTCAGAGAAATTACACTCTTAAGTTTCTTTCAGTAAAACACAGTTTTGTGCCCATACACACAACCTTGATTGGCCATCGTAAACATCAGAGATGGAGACTGTACATCAGCAAATCGTATACCTGGACAGTGATGCACCGTTAGCAGTCATGTATTGAGCTGCCCATAGGTGTTCCACAGGTTTGTTCTAACAAAGTCCTAATTTACCTGAGACCATTTTTTTTTCCTGGATGCTTCGAAGAGCAGGTAGCTTCTTAGCGTTGAAGACAAACTACTGTGAAATGTGTGAGGATGGCTTAAAAAGGATGTGGATGCTTTAAGAGCCCACTTGAGTTACAGACTATGGAGAACTTTGATAATTTTAATAATACATCATGTTCTCAGCATTTGATCAACTCGGGCATGTTGGCATTTCCCATGAACGAACAGTCATCAGCAGGTACTGTGCTTCCCAGCCTTTTCATACAGCGGCTGCCATGAAGTAGGTACCAAGTATGCATATGTGCAGGTGTAAATGAATCTATTTACCTATTTTACCTGTCTATCTACCCATCCATCCATCCATCCATCCATCCATCCATCCATCCATCCATCTATGTATAAATATAATGTAATAAAAAGATTTTATATATGCAGCCAGGCACGTGGTTATGAGACTCTCCGGAGGTTTTTTCCCTAC